CTTTGGTGTTTTAGGGTTTTTCTCTCTCTTCCTCCATGGCATCTTCCGCTGCCACTTCCAATTCTGAAGTTACCTCTGTCAGCTCCGGTGGGTCTGAGCAATCTGTTTTTACTAATTATGTCAATGTGAATTTACCCATTGATAAATTAGATGGTACGAATTATGCAACTTGGGCATCTGATATTAGACTTTGGCTTGAGAGTCAGGGGTATGTTGATCATCTTACTACCAAGGTAGATGATGTTCTTTCCAATGATCGTGTCCGTTGGAAGAAAGTTGATGCTCATATATGTATGGTTCTCAAGAATACCATCCAATCTTCTTTAAAACAAATTTTTAGATTGTATGACACATGTTATGACGTTTGGGAACAAGCCAAATTATTATACACCAATGACACTCAACGTTTTTATGGCGTTTGTTACAATCTTCTTGATGTTATTGCTCCTCGAGATAAGGATCCTGTGGCAGATTATGTGGGTAAGATCCATGCTCTTCTCCATGAATTTAATGAGTTATTACCCCCTGCCTCGACTCCTGCCCAAGAATTAGAGCAACGATCAAAGTTTTTCATGGTTTTGATGTTACACGGACTTGCTGATAAATATGCCCCTGTTCGTGACCAGATTTTGGGTTCTCCTGTTACACCCAGTTTTACCGCTACCAGTTCCTCCCTTTTGCGGGTGCCATGTAAACCTCTCAATATTCCCCCTGTAGTTTCTAATGATTCATCTGCCTTGGCCTCTCACCGTGATGATCGTAATCGCTCTCACAAGCCAGGCAAAGGGCGTGTCAAGTGTGACCATTGTGGCAAACTAGGCCACAAAATTGACAAATGTTATGCTTTACATGGTTATCCTCGCCGATCTGCTGCAGTTGCTCAGACTGATTCGTCCGCACAATCCTCTGTTGTGGATCCTCCTTCGTACCTTCAGACAAATCTGCTATCTTCAATGATTTTCTTCAATGGTATGAGGATCGAAAGCCCTCCAGTTTCACTACTTCTGTTGCCCACACAGGTACATCTTTTGCTGGTCTGACTCACTCTTCTTCTATTGGCTCTTGGGTACTTGACTCGGGCGCCACCGATTACATCACTGGTAACAAATCCTTATTTTCCTCTTTCACTTCTTCTCATAATTTACCCTCTGTTACAATGGCTAATGGGTCTACAACTTTAGCTCATGGTGTTGGAACGGTTACTCTTTTTTCCTCGTTGTCCATTGATAATGTCTTGTATGTACCCGGGTCCCCCTTTAACTTATTATCCATTAGCCGTCTAACTCGATCTCTTGATTGTGTTATCTCTTTTACCAAAACTTTTGTTTCCCTATAGGACCGGAGCTCGCAAAGAGTGATTGGCACCGGATGTGAGTCACATGGACTTTATTATCTTCAACCCTCTCCACATGTTGGCACAGTTATGGAGTCTCCTTCTCTCCTTCATGCTCGGCTTGGTCACCCCAGTCTGCGCAAATTACAACAACTTGTTCCCGGCTTATCCCGGTTGTCCAATTTGGTGTGTGAGTCCTGTCGGTTAGGCAAACATAGTCGTACTTCTTTTTCTCGTAGTGTTTCCCAGACGTGCTTCATCCCCCTTTGCCTTAGTTCACTCTGACATTTGGGGACCCAGTCGTGTTAAGTCTAATTTAGGTTTTCAATATTTTGTTACTTTTATTGATGATTTCTCTCGTTGTACTTGGTTATTTTTAATGAAAAATCGTTCAAAGTTGTTTTCTATATTCCAAAACTTTTATCATGAAATTAAAAATCAATTTGGTGTCTCTATTCAAACTTTTCGAAGTGATAATGGCCGTGAATATCTTTCAAACTCGTTTAAACAATTTATGGCTTCTCATGACATTCTTCATCAAACTTCCTGTGCTTATACCCCTCAACAAAATGGGGTAGTCGAGCGCAAGAATAGACACCTTATTGAAACAACCTGTACTCTTTTAATTCATGGTGAGGTTCCTCAACATTTTTGGGGTGATGCTGTTCTTACTGCCTGTTATCTTATTAATCGTATGCCCTCTTCGGTTTTAGATAACAAAATTCCCCATTCTATTTTATTTCCTCATGACACTCTCCATCCTTTACCTCTCGAAGGTTTTTGGGTCTACCTGTTTTGTCCACAATTTTGATCCTGGTCATGATAAGTTATCTCCTCGATCACACAAATGTGTTTTCTTAGGATTTACTCGATCCCAAAAAGGATACAAGTGTTTTTCTCCTTCTCTTAATCGCTATTTTGTGTCTGCCGATGTCACCTTCAATGAGTTTTCCTTTTACTTTAAGGACCCTTCCCTACCTGCTGAGTCTCCATCTCGCTACAGTTCCCATTCCTGTTCTCATTGATCCCTATGTTGAGGACCATCCACCATTAGCCCCTCCTCCTCCACCACTCCTTCGGGTTTATAGTCGCGAGACCTCGCCCACAACAGACGCCACATGACTCACTCCCGGTGCCAAATACTCTGCCTCCTCCGGTTCCGTCCACGAGTCCGACCTTCCTATTGCCCTTCGTAAAGGTACGCGTTCTACACGTAATCCTTCTCCACATTATACTTGCTTTAAGTTATCATCGAATTTCTTCACCATTTTATACCTGTCTCTCGTCTATTTCTTCCGTGTCTATTCCTAAATCTGTCTCTGAAGCCTTAGCCCACCCTGGTTGGCGTCGAGGCCATGCTAGATGAACTCGGTGCTCTTCGAGACTAGTGGAACCTGGACGCTTGTCCCATTACCATCTGGAAAATCTGTTGTTGGTTGCAGGTGGGTCTTCGCTATCAAGGTTGGTCCCGATGGTACTATTGATCGCCTCAAAGCTCGTCTTGTAGCCAAAGGCTATACCCAAATTTTTGGGTTGGATTATGGTGATACTTTCTCTCCAAGTGGCAAAGATGGCTTCGTTCGTTTATTCATTGCCATGGCTGCTATTCAACAATGGCCTCTTTATCAAGCTGGATGTCAAAAATGTTTTCTTGAATGGCGATTTGCAAGAAGAGATTTATATGGAGCAACCTCCGGATTCGTTGCTCGGGGGAGTCTTCTGGATTGGTATGTCGTCTTCACAAATCTTTATATGGTCTAAAACAGTCTCCTAGGGCCTGGTTTGGCAAATTTAGCGACGTTGTTCAACAATTTGGCATGACTAGAAGTGAGGCGGACCACTCGGTCTTTTACCAGTCACTCGAATGCTTGGATGTATCTATTTGATAGTGTATGTCGATGACATTGTTCTTACAGGTAGTGACCATCATGGCATCTCTCGAGATGAAACAACACCTTTGCCACCATTTTCAAACCAAAGATCTTGGCAAACTCGGATATTTCTTGGGTATTGAGGTAGCACAATCTACCGATGGCATTGTTATATCTTAAAGAAAGTATGCATTGGATATTTTGGAGGAAGCTGGGTTGATGAATTCAAAGCCTGTTGACACACCCATGGATCCTAATACCAAACTCTTGCCAAATCGGGGGAGCCAATGTCGGATCCTCGAACAGTATAGAAGATTAGTTGGAAAATTAAATTATCTTACGGTTACTCGCCCGACATTTCCTTTGCGATCGGTGTGGTGAGTCAATTCCTCAATTCTCCTTGTCAAGATCATTGGAATGCGGTCATCCGTATATTGAAGTACATCAAAAAGTCTCCTGGAAAAGGTTTGGTGTATGACTCCCATAATCATACAAGAGTTGTCCGCTATTCGGATGTCGATTGGGCAGGATCTCCCTCCGAAAGAAGATCTACATCCGGGTATTGTGTTTCCATTGGTGGTAACTTGATCTCATGGAAAAGTAAGAAACAAAGTGTTGTGGCAAGATCCAGGTGCAGAAGCGAGTATAGAGCTATGGCCTCGGCTACATGTGAACTTATTTGGCTCAAGCAATTGCTTAAAGAGCTACAATTTAGAGATGTCACTAAAATGACACTAGTGTGTGACAATCGAGCTGCTCTCCATATAAGCTCTAATCCTGTCTTTCATGAGAGGACTAAACACATTGAGGTTGATCGCCATTTTATTCGGGAAAAGATTATGTCCGGAGACATCAAGACCGAGTTCGTTAACTCATGTGATCAATTAGCGAGATATTTTCACTAAGTCTTTACGGGGACCTAGGATGGATTATCTTTGTACCAAGCTAGGCACATACGATTTGTATGCTCCAGCTTGAGGGGGAGTGTTAGATATGATTAGATATTAGTTGATATTATTTGATATTGTTGAGATATTGTTAGATATTGTTAATCACAATATCAAATAATATCTTTTATTTACCTTATTTACCCTATTTTGTATTCTGTTACTCTTTTGAGGAGTACCTTTCTTTATTATAAATACACTGCCCTATGTGTGGTAAATACACAAGGGAAATTAACCCTATACAGTTTTTCCTATATTCAACACATCTGAACCAGATTTGATTGATGTTTTTCGTTTTTCTGTGAATGAGTAAAGGTTAATTGCTTCTGCACTATTTGGCAAGCAATCTGATGCAGCATGGTATTAGAAAACAAGCTCTTTGTCTATTTCTCCCTCCCTCCCTCGTAATATGATAATATTCTTGGTGCTATAAAGTGATTGATGGACACAAACATATGGGTTGGTTCTATTAATCTTTGAGCTCATGTGTACTCAACGCATGTATCACTATAAACTTTAATAATCAACACATATAGTAGTTCTATGGTGAAAAATTTGAGTGCGTAGTATTTTGCATGTTACATGATACAATAATACAAACGAAACAAGTGGACCTACGGTGGTTTGTTTGGTACTGTTTCTTTTTTGCAAATATTGGACTCAGTTATTTGTTCAAAGAAGGATGAGATAGGGTTGTTTTCTGGCATTACTATCATTTTCTTCTGGCAAGGTGTAACCGTGCAATGACATTTTATTGATGTTTGCTGCGTAGGGTATTAGAGGTTGGTGTTAGGAAGTTAGACTTCAAGGCTAATATAAAGCTTTGTTGAATCTTCGTAACTAGGGTCAATGATGCATTGGTCCTTGATAGAGCCAAAAGTGGTATTGACTGAACCAGAGCTGTTTCTACCTTGTAGTATAAGATTAAGTTATATTTGTTGTATTTAAGAGCTTGGAGTGATTGATTGTCTTGATGTATTTTGTTTGTCCTATCATTTTGTTTCTCTTTGATCAAGTCTTCATAGTTCATAACCCTGTTGTGATTATTCTATTAGTAAATTTCTTGTTGAATGTCTTCTGTTGGATTTGTCCTGAAGCCTTGATGGTGCATTTTTAGTCTTTCCCACTTCTACGGATTCAGTGTGTCATGCCACCATTAGATTAATGGTGTGATTTGTATTAAGCAAGTTGTCACTGCAAAAAGTTCTTATTAGTTAATTCTTATTTCTCCGGGATGTTAGATGTTGATAATCACCTAATCTTCATTATTGCCATCTGCTTACGAAATAAATATTTCCATTCAAAGTATTAAAATTATATAATTGAAATGTATGGTAGTTTCACCAGTTAGTTTTGTTCTTAATCACAGGATAAGTCATCGGCAATACCACATGATGAAGATTACTCATGGGATGAACGGAACTCAACATTAAGGGGTTCTCCTTTCTCGAAAAGAGAGTTTAGAGGACATCATGGTAGTCCTGAACTGCATTATTCTGACAAATCCAAGCTGAGTGACAAAAATCCAGAACCCAGTGAGGTTCTGTGGATTGGGTTCCCGGCTCAGTTGAAGGTGGACGAATCAATTTTAAGAAAGGCTTTTTCTCCATTTGGTGAAGTAATGAAGATTACTACATTTCCAGGTCGTAGTTATGCCTTTGTTCGATTTAGGAGCCTGACATCTGCATGCAGGGCAAGAGATAATCTGAAGGGGAAGTTATTTGGGAATCCCCGTGTACATATTTGTTTTGCCAAAAGTGAAACAGGTTCATCAAACAGTGATAGGAGAGCACTTAATGCCCCTCGCTCCCCAATTTACAAGTCAAGTGGTCGCGATGGATCTTCTGATAACCTTAGACAGAATCGGAGCTTCAATGCAGATCGCAGCATTGGTTCTCCAAATCAATTCCGGAGTTGGGATTCTGATCCTTATGATCACAAAAGGGGTTCTTCATGGGCTAGTGGAACAAACACGTATGACCAAAGGAAAGTTGGAGAGAAGGGGAGAACACTAGGAGCATCACAAGAAATCTATGAACTTATGAATAGTCCTACAAGAGAAAGACATGCTCATGTGGGTGATATTCCTGAGAGATTTCCTCAAAAAGGTGCATTCTATGAAGATTTGCAGGCCTTTCCAGATGTTCCCTATCTACGTGAGGCTAAAAGGCTGAAGACTGGTTCTCCTCCTCTTGAAAGAGAGCTTCCAGAGTATCCCTTCTCTGAATTAGAAAGACAGAAACATGTTCTGCCAAGACTATTATCTGATTTACCCCCTCATGAGCCTTTTGATAAAGGATTTGATGCTGGAAATTTTACTTATGGCCAGACTCTTGATCACCCCCAAAATTCACCTCTGCCTCGTTTAAATAGACATGAAGGCTGGAAATCTTATGATAATTTACAAATGGGTTCTGGTGCTCAGCAGTCAACTTTTGTTGAAAAGAAAAGATTCACGCCTGAACCCGATAGTTCATCTTTAACTGAGTGGAAATGGGAAGGAACTATTGCCAAAGGTGGAACCCCTGTCTGTCGTGCACGCTGCTTTCCTGTGGGGAAAGTCCTAGATATCATGTTGTAAGTATTAAATATTCCGTTCAAAAGGTGTACTTTTTTTTTCCATATTTTGGTCGTCTTAACTTTGAAATATATATTTTTTCCTATTTCTTAGGTTGTCAAATTTTACCGAGACTCATTAGATAGAATTGCTTTTGAAAGGGGTAAAATATCATTGAGATGTGAGAGGGGGAACAAAGGGTAAAATAATGGCCACTAGTACATGGCAAGTTCTTGCAATCTATTGGTTCTCACTGACCGTAATTGGGTCAATCTCCCCTCTTAAAAATTTTTATTACAGGAAAAAGAGGATACACTCATATAGCTTAAGTTTGTGGACATTTTTATTATCTGAAGCGTGTAGTTGGACTTTTGCTGAAAGCAATTGACTCATTGGTTTTTACCTGTTGGGAAACTTGTAAATGCCTTTTAGATAGAATTTTAACAATATATCCATGTAAGGATTTCAGATAAATGTTCATATTATTCTTTTAAATAGAATTAGTTGACAGTTGTTTTGTTCACAACTTCACATACATTACAGTCATCGCCGGAGTTTTTAATGATTTAATTTAATTTAAAGCAATTGAGAGGAAGTTAAGAATTTAAAAAATGTGCTATTAGAGGTAGATATTAATCTAGTCATCCAAGTATATAATAGATAGCTGAGTTGGTTTGTTTAACAAGCAAGATATAGTATACTTAAAAAGATTTTATCGTGGTTGAGGGAGCTCATGTGTGACTTTTGATTAACATATATCTTTATGCATTATGCATGCATGTATACAGCATCTTATTGATATTCGAGTTAAACCACTATTCTTCAATAAAAGTGCTGTAAGGAAAAGAATACTGGAAACATAACCGAATCCAAGTGTCAATGTACACAATGGAGAGTGTTATTATGAAATATGGGTAATAAATGAGAGTAGTGGTGGATCTTGAATATTGATTTTAGGGGGGTTAAATAATATATTATTAATAAATAATATATTATTAATAAATATAAAAGGAAGAAAGAAGATGAAAGGGTGAAAGGATAAAATTATAGATATATACTTAAATATATTAAATCATCTTTAAGTTTGAGTGAAATAAAATCATAAATTATATGAGAGTTACAAAATCGAGAAGAGAATGAGAGGATACAATTGTAAATATACAAGTAAATATATTAAATGTTCATTAAGTTTGAGGGAGTCAAAATCATAAATTACATAGGAGTTACAAAATTTTGGGAGGGCCATGACCCCCCTTAGCTCCTAAGAAGATCCGTCACTGAATGAGAGATTAATTATAATATCGTAATTACCAAAGTGTTTTAGATCCTAAAATAGGCCCATTGCAATAGGCCTAAGATACAGTATTCAAATATCTAACAACATCCAACAAAAAGAATTCATTATAGAAAAGAATGCCCTAACAGCAACCAGAGAAAAAGATAATGGAACATTAATTAGCTCAAAAGAAGCTCACTGACATCTGCTTTGTCTGTAGACAATAGAAATCTTCTCTGAATTAACTCGTGACAGCAACATAGAGGCCAAAAGATCAAAACTCTGCCTTGAAATGGGGTCAGGGAGAATTATGATTAAGAACTGTGGCATAACCATACAACTGTAACACACAGCCAAAGCAGTTTACTATCATTACTGTCCTCTCAATTGTTTATGTTGGGTGTTAATGTCAATACATTAATTTCAGACCTGAATTCTTGGATTGCACTGCAAGAACTGGTCTAGATATGCTTTCAAAGCATTACTACCAAGCAGTTGGTGTTTGGGTTGTTTTCTTTGTGCCTGGAAGTGATGCTGACATGGAATTCTACAATGAATTTATGCATTATCTGGAGGAAAAGCAGCGCGCTGCAGTTGCCAAGTTGGATGAAAAGACCACTTTATTTCTTGTTCCTCCATCTGAGTTCTCGGAGAAAGTACTGAAGGTACCTGGTAAGTTGAGTATATCTGGTGTTATTCTGAGGTTGGAGAATCCTGTTTTAAATCATGGTCCCGGACACATTCAAAGAGAAATGACAAATGAAAACCTGTTGTCCTATAATGAGAATATACTTCATTCGAAATCATTATTTCCTTCAGCACGCGTACCGACATCCCCATCTATTTCAGAATTGGGTAATTCTGGAATCAGCAATCTTTCATTCCTGGGAAATAAATTTGCAGCAGCTCCATCAGTTTCTGATTCAGCTCATGCTGCGGCTAGCATGTCTGAGTCTCATGATGAAAGAAATCGCAACTATCCTATCCAGCAGCGGACTTCTGGACCAAACTTGTCTTCTCAAAATCTGCAGAACTTCTCTAATAGAACTCTACCATTGCAACAATCAGGTGGTACTGTAGAGCCTGTTGCCGATGAACGCCAACTCATCACTCCTAGGACTGTGACAGATGTAAACTCAATTTCTGGTATTCCGTATTATGGTGATAACAAGTTGTCTTACCCAGATATAAGACATTTAGATCCTTTATCAGTGCCTGTGGGAGCCCTTCCACCAGAACAGCTTGCACAACTAGCTGCATCTCTTCTTGAGCAGCAGAGGCAATCAGGAAGCTCTTCGAGTATGTCTGCATTCGGTGATCGTGATCCGCGGCAGATTAACAGATTTAGCACATCTGACACCTCATCCAGATTTAGCACATCCGACACCTCATCCAGACAATCCCAGAAATATGTTACAGAAAACAATATTGTGACTTCTGATCAGTCAACGTCTCAGTTAGGTCAAATTCTACAGATGCAAAAGCAACAACAGATCTCAAATGCGCCTCAGATGTCACAGATCGTTCAAAGGGAACCACAAAGAGAGGCTAATGGAAATCAGGTGGTGACAGATAGAAGCTTGCAGGAAGATTCTGATTCAGATCCACAGAAACGTCTACAAGCAACACTTCAGCTGGCTGCTGTTCTTCTTCAGCAAATCCAGCAAGGGAAAGGAAGTTGAGCAGTGCAAGGATAATGTTTAAGCACATAATGTTAAAACGAGGATTAATGTTTGAATGACTTAAAAAAAAAGGAAAAAATTATTAATGGCTGTAAGTGGGATGGACAGATTTTCATTTTGATGAATTGCAGTGGTTTGCAGTGGATTGGTAATTAGAAGTACTGCATTCTTAGTATTTTAAGCCAGCTCTTAACTTTCACTAGTTGTGTCTTTTTCTTCCATAAAGGTATTATATTGCTATTTATTAAAGCAAGTCTTCATTTACGGATATTTTTTTATTTTTCATTTTATTTTTTTAAATTAGATTGGACATGGAACCGAATAAGTTTTAATGGTCGAATTGAAGCTGAATCAGTATTAATAAAATTATTTAAAAATTAAAATTACACAATAAGTTTTGAAAATATATTATATATAACTTTATGACACAAAAAATACATGTCCTTAACATTTAAAATACATATAAAATTTTAAATAAAATATGTATATTATATTTAAATTATTCATTAATGATAACAAATTTATACGTAGTAAAAATAAAAATGACTAATAGTTTAAGTTGGTTTTATTTTCTTTAAAGGTTAAAATTATCATTTATAAATGTTTTTATTAAATTAGTTTGACCAGGTTTATGAGTCCTATGCTAGTGTTCTTTGTTTTTTACATTATCTATAATATTTAAAAGTGATTAAAAAAAAACGTTTTAGTGTCATAATTTAAATTATTTATTTGATATATTTTTTTCTTTTACTATTTCAATTACATAGTTTAAATTATCATTTATTTCTTATTTCTTCAATTTTTTTTAAATTCCTTTTCATATAATCTCTAATCATAATAAATAAAGAAAGAAAGAAAATATATATATATATATATATATATATATATATATTAAATTGTAAGTCATTAAAACGAAAAATTATAATACGTAATTTTTCTCGAATATAAATGAAATAAATAAATTAATTAAAATTATTTCAGTCTTTCACACTTTTAATAGCAGATTCTTCTCAAATTCTCTCCTATCTAATATTTTTTTTATATGTGATAATATTTATATTTAAAAGTTAATATATATACATTAAATTTTAATTCGTTACTAAAAGCATAATAAAAACGCCGTAATACATGCTACTCATCCCTTGCAAAAGAATATACATCTAATTATGTTCCAATAATTTGTATCATTTAATTTGCAGTTTAAAAAGTAACCTCCAAAGTTAATATTAATACTAATTTAACTTGTAACTCATTAATGATTTGTTATTACCTTGAACGATCTATTTGGTTCTTAAAACACTGTTCCCAGGTAGAAGTGGATTAGGTGCTATCGAGGAAACTCCGCAGTTGCTTCAATTAAGAAGGTATTGGGCAACATTGTATTGCCCAGATTTTTTCTGGATTTGGTCCCACGCCATTGCATTTTTTAACGGTTTTCTATTTGTCTCGTTCTTTAATCCTCATATGATTATAATTTGCTCATAAAATCAATCTTAAAAAATATGGTAACACCTTTATAAGCAAGTCATAAAATATGGGGAAGAGATGTTTTATACTTTATGTTGTTGATAACCCTACAGTTTTGCACTCACCCTTTTTCTATCAACCTCTTTATTTGCCTTTGAATCTCTTTAGATTCTTCTAAGTTGGTTCTATAGATTGGTTTATTAGGCAAGGATATTCAAAAATAAAATCTATTTGATGTTCTATTTCCTTTAAGGGAGATAATCCTTTTAGAGGTTCTTAAAAAATATCCTTGAAATCATCCAAGATTAATTCCAAACCATGCAAACAACTAAAGGAGCTTTAATGAAATGCAAGAGATGACCTTAAGCTAGGGTTGTTGGAATCGTGCAGCAGAATGTTTGCGTTTAGGATAAAATCAAGAGGGGGTGAATTTGTTTCTTTATAAAAGTTATCACTTTAAAAGCTTTTCGCAAGATTTAACCGATTAAACAACAACTGAAAAGTAAATAGATAAGGAAAAGAAGATTACACGGGTAATTTTATACTGGTTCAGATCAAAAGATCCTACGTCTAGTGGTTAATCACTCTAAAAGATGATTAACCCAATCACTAAAACAATATTTTAAACAGATTACAAATTACAAGTAATAAGGATTAAAAAACATCTCTCTTGAGTCACACAAGAGAGGAACACCTCCTTTGAAGCTACAAAGGATGAAGACAACTTTTTCTAGAGACGACACAACACACAATCCACCAAGAAACCCACTTAGTGATTCTTATCGCTTCTAGCCCACACTAGGTTACAAAAGCCCATTTTTCTTCCCTACTCAAAAATCTCTCAGCAATCACAACTATAAACTTTAATATGAAAAAGATTGTTCTTTATAAAGAGTCAGAGAGTTCCTTAAATAGAGATTTTAGGGTTTTGAAATTAGGGGTTTTCAAAAATAAGTATGAAATTTGAAATTCAAAATCATAACTGACACAAATAATCGATTATCATAAGTGATAATCGATTATCACAGAGCTACTTTTGCAGAAGACAAAATTTGACCAGGATAATCGATTATCCATAGAGATAATCAATTATTCCTGTGACTTTCAAAAACCCAGGTTTAACTAGGATAATCGATTATCACCAATAATAATCAATTATTCCAGTGGTTTTCAAAAATCTGTTTTTAAGTAGGATAATCGATTATCCCAGGTGATAATCGATTATCATAGAACGTTTTTGTTAAAAATGAACTTTCAATGGTCAGACTATGTGCTGGTTATCTTGGACTCTATTTTTACAGACTCAAAATGATAAAACAAAGTTATAACAAACAAATACAATTGTACATAAGTCTTCTAATCTTGAAGTCATTTGTCTTTGAATCATCATCAAAACCTTCAGGCATCATACTATTGTATTTTCAACAATCTCCCCCTTTTTGATGATGATCAAAATCTGCTTTAAAGCCCTTTGTAATAACCTATTTTTTTCTGTCACACCTATCATAGAAAAATATTAAACATACCAGGTTTTAAGTATTTTCTCCCCTTATTTTATCATAATAAAAAAAGAATATAAGCTCCCCCTCAATATATGCAAAAAAAATAATCAACTCCCCCTCAATATATGCAAAGATAGATATTTATTTAAGTTTATCAAAATCAATACACAATATGGAAAAGAGAAAAGAAAAATTGCTAAACCTATGAATACAAAAATTCTAAAATTATTCACTTTCGGAATCACTGTTAAATTTCATGTCAAATCTGTCTTCTAGATTTGACACACGTTCATCCACATTCGAAATGCGATTGATAATTTCTTGATGTCGTTCTGCAGAGATGTAAAAGAAGTCTTGCATTCTTTGGTTCATGCTGAAAATCATATCTTCAATGGAAGAGTGGGCTTCAGTATGGGCGCCAGATGAAGTTCCTCCAACATGAGTATCAACAAAAACCATTTCTTCATCTTCAGAATCTTCAGCAACCTCAGCAGCATGGGGTGCATCATCCTTATGGAAGTAGGTTCCATTAACATTGACCATTTGAAGCTGAGATAATGTTCCATCAAGCATCCGATTAGAATTCAACATCTAAAACCTTTGTTCTCCTTCAAGATTAACTCCCTTGTATTCTAGAATTCGGGAGATGAGAAGATCATAAGGAATCCTAAAAGTAGGATGTCGCTTGGCTTTGAGCATCATTAAAGTAACAAGGCTAGGCCAATCAATTGGCTCATTATTCATAATCGCATGGATTATACGAAGATCAATAGTAGAACATTGAGCATGATTGGTGGCCCAGGGACAGAGGATGCATACTATAAGATGAAGGAGCATTTGTTCTTCTTTCTTTAGTGGTACATCAAGAAGCTGTCTGCCAATCTTCATGGCAAGATTGCGGAGGAAGGAGTGGTATGCCAGAATTCTGTTAAAGTCGTCTAGATCCATCAGGACCTTGACGACATCATCTCGAATGGGAAATTTAGCTACATTTTCCCATATATCATCATCAAGGATGATGGTGACACCTTTTACTCGAGAGGTAGCAACATGATCTCTGTATTTAAAACGAGAATAAAATACATGTACCAAGTCAGGATAGTACGTCCCTTCCATTTTAATGAAGGGTAAGACACCTTAGTTTTCAAGTAAATTTGGGAAATGGAATCCGCGATTGATGAATTGATCCCCTTTCAAGAATTTTGGAGTGATGATACTCCTTTCCTTCCAAAAAGTAAGAAACTCTTGTCTCTTCTCCTCATTAGATATCTATCCTTCAACAGAATTTGAGTGAGCTTGAGAGGCAGGAGCAGATCTTCTCTTGGTGGGGATCTTTCTTCTAGATGAGGAAGCCATTTTTCATAGAGGATAGATATTTGAAAGGAAATAAGGAATAGTATGAGAAAGAGAGAAAAGCTTTGAATAAATGGAGAATACTTGAAGGAGAGGCTTGTAATGAGTTTGGATGAGTTTCTAAGTCCTCCTATATATAGAGAACATCTCCAAAGACTATAAACACAAGATTTAAAGCCAAAAGAGTTGTTACCAATGGCTAGTTAATCCCCAACGACACAGAATAATTGATTATCACTTGAGATAATCGATTATTTCTTATCAGCTGCCAAGAAAATTTCCAAAGATGCATGGATAATCGATTGTGTAAGCATGAATAATCGATTATCACTTGAAATAATCGATTATTCCAGAGAGTTTGGCAAAATTTTCATAGAAGTTAAGATAATCGATTATTCCTAAGAGGTTGACAATTTTAATATGTATGAGACACAAAATAATTGATTATTTCCTAAGATAATCGATTATTCTAGTACGAAATGCAAAGATTTTACAGTTTTACAGAGTTAAAGCTATTTCTAATATTCTTAAGTCTCTTCTAAGTTCATAGAATCTATCCTTGGGGAGAGGTTTGGTAAATATGTCTACTAATTGATGTTTTTTATCTGTATATTCAATTTTACAATTTCCCTTAGAAATATGACCTCTTAAAAAGTGATACCTAATTTCAATATGCTT